ATATTGTCTGTGTATATTGTCTTTTATAAACATATTGTACATGTTACTTAGTTTAAACGAAATTTCAGACCAATCAGTTTATGCAATTTTCGGCATATATACCGAATACATACAAAAAATATACTGATTTTATACATAAAAGTATCGCATATACCAAACATATAGCAAAAATAAACCATTGGATAATAAAAAACGACAACAAAAAAATATCGCATATACCAGACGTAACATAAAAAAAACGACAATAAAAAGGTATCGCATATACCAAACATATACTGTACATATACTCCATCCAGTGTCTACGAATTTCAACGTAATGACTAATCTACACACAATCCAAAACCCTAAAAAAATCAAAGCAAAATTCAAATTTCCTGCAACCAACTAATCATCTCCCCCAGATTGTGGCGACGCCGAAACCCTCTTTAGAGAACGCCATCGTCGGTGGAGGGAGTAGGACTCCATATAAACCGATTCTCGCATCGCCTACATGTAGATGACTACCGCGGGAACAGATCGATAGACGATCTCGTCGAGGGAGTAGGACTCGGTGGAGGACGGCGTTGAAGGGGACGTACTTGGCGGAGAAGTCGGGCGTGGTGTTTCATCCCCTTCTTTCGCCGGTATTTTTCGAGGATCGCGAGTGATTTTTGTCTTCGCCATTTCAGTAGTTTGAGAAATCGATGGTGATTTTTTTTGTTGAAGAGGAAGTTTTTCTTCGCCGGCGTTGAAGAGGAAGTTTTTCTTTTCTTTGGAGGTAGTGAATGTGGGCGGTGGGGGGATCTTTTTTGTTGGAGAAGAGATATTGCATATTAAAGATGTCCATAAATTGTGTAATTTTCCTTTAATTATCTGATAAAGTTTAAATTGTTTCTCTTAGGTATATTAGCAATATTTTAGGCTTAGTTAGGTAATTGTATAAATATTTATATAATGGATGTATAATTATAATATATTTTAGATTGGTGGGTACAGAGTGCAATTTCCTCTATAAAAAATTATATTGAAGGAGTGGATAATGAGTCCCACATATGTATTTAAATGAATGAGTAGAAATGTGAGTGTGTGTATAAATAGAAAGAGATTTAATGGAAAAATGATGTGGAGATGATGTAGATAAGAGACAGTGCTACTTTTTGATTAAATGAATGATATTTGTGTTAAAGGGAGATAGATGCCCTAACCATATACATGAAAAAGTTGATTGAAATAATGTTATAGTGTTCCAGAGATAATAATTTGAAATAAATTTTGAACTCCTTTGAGTAAGTTGGCTGGTTGTGGGGCAGGAGTACTTATTTTAGTTATTTCCAGTCAACACCGGGTCCTCTTATTTTAGTAGTTCGATGTGCTTAAATAGTTTGATGTTGTTTAAGTAAGGTATTGGGTTCGAGTTCTTGTGAATGCAGAAAATCTTTGTTGGGATCATTGTCAAGTATGAGACCCAGATCAACCAACGGATTAATCGAGATAACGCTCCGAATAACGTGGCTGGCTACAAAAAAAAAAAAAAAACACCGGGTCGCTCTTATTTTAGTAGCAAAATAATCATTTAACCAAAAGTATAGTCCTACGAATTAATATCAACTTTATATTCACGAATGTCCAAGGCAAATATTTTCTTTTTATATTCATGACTATTCATGGGCGATATTGAATACATTTTTAATACAATTTGAGCGAATTTTTCTCAATTGGTAAAAATTAAAATATCATGCCTTATATTAAAAAAAAATTGAATAGACGTGTTTAATTTACAAATAAAGCATACATCGTGACTTGTGAAAATGAGCACAATTTCATTCATGTACAATTTCACAATTTTCTATTATTTTTTTCCTAATTATTTGTGAGAGGCAAACGTAGCTATATATATTGCGTATATGGTTTTCGGCTTAGTCTATTTCAATTAGTGTTGTAAATGAATCGAACCTAACAGAGTTTGGGCTGTTAGAGCTCGTGTTCGTTTACGATCGAACAGTGTCCGTGTTCGTTCGTTTATTTTCCGTACAAAAAATCGTGTCCGAGCTTGTTCATTTAATTGTTCGTCAGAGTTCGAGTTCCTTCGTGTTCGAATAATTTAATACATAAACTTTATAAATATGTTTGATTAACTCGAATTTCGTTCGTTCGAACTCGAAAATAAAAAATAAAAAATATGTTTAGATTATTTTAGATTATCATTAAAAATATTATATAAATATATATATATATATATAAATTATATTAAATTAATATTTGCAAACGAGGTCGTGTTTGTTTGATTAATAAACGAGCCCAATTTTATGTTCGAATTCGGCTTGATTAACAAAAGAACGTACTTTTATCCAACACGAACGAACTTTTATTCACGAGCGTTCGATTCTTTTACAGCTTTACTATCAATAAATATTTCACCGTTGTAATTATGGCGTCTCCGAAAATCAACCACTGTGTGTGTGTCTGTAGGCTAGCATTGACCGTGTGCCAGCGCAGTCATGATATCAGCCGTATGTGTCAGAAAGAAACAAACTGTGGGCCCTTTTTTTGAACAACTTTTAACGCCACAACAATAATTCCAAGTAAATGCTGAAAAACTGAAAAGGGAATCTTAAGGGTGGGCGCACGTACACCCATCACATTTTATTTTTTCCAAAGAAAAAACTAAAAATCATTTCGAAAAAATTGATGATTTTCTCCGGCTATAAAGATGTCGGCCCCTTTAATACACGGTAAAATACTTTTCTCAAACTACCACGGTCTACAAACCGCAATATGAATTATACGGGTTTGTTAATATGCCCTCTAAACTGGATATAACAGTGATTTAGGGGGCAAATTGATTAACGCATGATAGTTCATATAGTGGTTTGTAAAAGTATGTAGGGGCACATATGGTGACCAAACAGCTTTTTCAGTCAAAACCACTTTTATATCTGATTTAGGGGCACATTGACAAACTTGTATAGTTCATATGGTGGTTTGTAAAAAAAATAATTTATATGGTGATGCGCCAAAACCGTGATAGTTCGGATGGGAAAAAGTATTTTACCCTTTAATATAAATAGTTTTTATTGGTAAGAAAAAAAAAATAAATATATCGTGGGTAAAAGAATAAAAAAGCTAATGATTTTTTAATTTAAATTGTTGTTATGTATAGAATATTTTTTTTGGTACAAAAATGAACTATTTGTAACTTGATTATAAAATAGTAATAATGTTTGACATTAAACAATATACAAGTAAATGAGTAATTAATGTTATAGATGAATGTACAATGATTGATTTTTTTTTTTAATTTAGAAATCTATATATATATATATATATATATATAATTGCTGGCATGTAGCATTTAATAAAACATTTAATAAAACCTCTAAAATTTTTTCTCCATTTTCGGTTACAAAAGTTATCATTAATATTTTTTACTTCTCACATTAATACATCTTAATGAGTGTAATCATGTATGTTTTTATTATATATATAATAATTATTGCTAATACCAACTAATAATAATTCACAATAAATATAAATTACATAATTATAAACAATTGTTTCGAGTTATGTATTTTAACATCAATATTATCTTTTTCTTTTGTATCTCATAAAAAAATTTCTTTAAAAACAATTAGTAAATTGTTTTAATAGTATAGTTAAACAACTTTAGAATCTTATATATAATTTTTTTTAATAATATATATATATATATATATATATATAATTGCTAGCTTAACATTTAATTTTACATGTTTAATAATACATCTAGAATTTTTCCTCTATTTTCACATTAACACATCCTATTAAGTGTAATCATGTATTTTTCTATTATATTATATAATAGTTATTGTTAATATCAACTGCTAATAATTTACAATAAATATAAATTACATAATTATAAACAATTGTTTCAAGTTATTTATATTAACATCAATATTTTTTTTCTTTTGTATCTCAAAAACCGTTACAAACTTTATCATTTATCTCTCTCTCTCTCTATTTAATTACTAATAATAAATTTGATAATATTGATTATTGTTTACCATCTTTGTATGTTACAATCTTCTATTATTATTATTATTATTATTATTATTATTATTATTATTATTATTATTATTATTATTATTATTATTATTATTATTAATCCACCATATCTAATTAATGCTAAACTATTTCATTGCACTTTTTTTAGGGTCAAATAAGACAAAAACCGTTACATTTTATATTAACGAAGTAATAATTACACTTTTTATTATATCATATAATAGTTATTATTAAAACTAATAACTATAGTTTATTCTAAATGATATATGAAAGTTACATAAACATAAAAAATTATTGTAAACTTTGTGCTGAAGTTATTTATTTTAAATTTAGTATTATATTTTTTTTATCTTATTTAGCTATTGTATTTTTAATTAAGTTAATTTATTTTCAAAATTATAGTAATATTTCTTAAAATCGCATAATGAAATGTTATAATAAATTTAATATTTTTATGCTAATAAATTGGCGATCTCTCAAAATTACGTTATTTATTATATTTTATATAATTAATATAGCGGTTCATATGCAATCAAATAGATATGTACTCATAATATCATTGTCTAATTTATATGTTTATTATTATATGCATAAATATAACTTATAATACTCTATGTGTGTATTAATTTAACAATAAAAAAATAAATTATAGTACAATTGTGTGTGGGGTTTGATTTCCGATAATTTTGACTTAATTCTATATCTATTTTCACACGCCAACCCAATTTAATGCCACAAATAAAGCTACACTGTACTTCACCTGAAGCCTGCAAATAATACTTATACTTAATAAATAAATAGTAATAAATATGTTTTGCTATAGAAGAAATAATTTATTTAAATTAATTATTATGAGAATAATCAAACCTGTCGCGATTAAAGAGGCAGCTATAAATATCCCCTGCACGAAAAAACCCTATTCCTTACTTTTTTTTTTAATTATCGAATACAGTAACCGCCCCATCACGCGCCCCCAAACCATGGTCGTCCCGAGGTTCGAAAACGGCGCCGTTCGGCCGCCGCCGCAGTTTCGCGGCGTCAGGAAGCGGCCGTGGGGAAGGTACGCGGCGGAGATCCGCGATCCGCTGAGGAAGACGAGGAAGTGGCTCGGCACCTTCGACACGGCGGAGGAGGCGGCGCTCGCCTACGACAGGGCGGCGATGAGCCTCCGCGGCGCCAAGGCGAAGACGAACTTCACCTACGCAGACGCCGCGCCTTCTGCTTTGCCGCCGCCGCCGCCGCCGCCGATGATGAGATCGGAGTACACCGGGTACAGGATCGACGGAATCGGAGCGGTGGTCGCCAGCGAGCAGGAGAAGCAGATGAGGAG